CAAAGCAGCGCCTCGCCCGGAGGACATGACTTCGATGAGTGAAAGGTCCGACCCTCTCGGCCCCCCGGCCGAGGTCTTCCCGGTGAGCGAGTACAAGCTTGTATCGCCATCGCACAAGACAAACTGCCAGAGCACAACTGTGTGCGTATAGAGGTACTGGGTTTCAAGCCGGTAGCGGGCGCTCGGGGCGCCGCAGCCCGATGACGGCCCCGCGTGGCACGATGCGACGGTGCAGTTTGCCATCGACGGCATCTCATGGCCGTTGCGGCTCACCTTTGACGTATCGTTCGTCTCGGCGTGGCCGTGTTCTGGGGGGCCGCACCCTCTGTTTTTCGACTACGTTTTCGAGACGGTGCGCGTGGACCGCATCGTCGAGGTGAGAGACTGGGGAGGCTTGTATTATGGCGGACGCGTCGGGAGCCGCGCGCAGGGCCCCGGGAGCGGGAGCAGCGAATCCAGCGCCGCGGCGCAGCAGTCTGAAGAAGGCGAGAAGGTGCTCGTCATTGAAGCGTTTGGGGTCCCGGACAACGAGGTGCTTGCGAGGGCCTGGTGCAGTCACTGGGGGCTGGGGGCTGTTGTCGCGGATGTGGCCAAGACGTGCGTCGGGTGCGCGGTGCGTGAGGCGTACGCGGCGACGCTGACGGTCGTCATTTTGGTGGACGGGCGGCTGAACGAGGAAGAGGAGTGAGGTGCGTGATGCATGCCACCCTTTTTGTGTGTGTGTTTGTGTGTGTGTGTGGTGTGACGGCGTTTTGCGTTATGCTGGCAGTTTTTAGCTGGCGACAGAGAGATACCAGGGCAAGCTGACGGCGTTGGACGGATGATTATGATTACGAATAGATTCTTTGATGACTATGGCTCGTTCAACGTGACTTGTGTGAACAGAAAAGAAACTGAGTGAGCACCACCTCGTCTTAAAAAGACCTGCCTTTGCCGAGGAGTTGATGATGCTCCACGTCTGGCATGGCCCCTCTGCCTCAAACCTCATCGCCCACCTTCTTCTTGAAGGCGCCGACAGCCACCTCCCAGAGCTCTCTCCCATCCCCGTCGGCCCAGCGGCTCAGCGTCTCGACCCCCTCGAGATCGGCCCTCATCTCCTCCTCCCTCGTGGTGCCGTCGAGCACGCAGGCGCCGAGGGCCATGACGAGACCGTAGAAGACGACCTCGCGGCTGACGCGGGCGGCATCCGCGACGCCGCCGACGAAATCGCTGCCGACGAGGGCGGCGTTGGCGGTCAGCGTCCAGAAGGCCTGGTAGACGATGCCGCGCTCGCGGCAAAAGGCGCGCACGGCGGCGTCAAAGGGGGCGCGGAAGCGGTTCTGGACGACGGCGGGGGGCACGACGGCGGCGGCGCAGATGGCCTCGAGCTGCGGCAGCGTGACGTTGGAAACGCCGAGGCGGTGGGCGGCGCGGGGCTACGTGGGCCTCCATTGCGCGCAAGGCGCGCAGCGTGTCGGGCAGCAGGGGCAGGGGCGCGTGCAGGGAGGAGCATGTCGACGTGGTCGGCGCCGAGGTGGGCGAGGGACGAGGCGAGCGAGGCGTCGACCTGGCGCTCGAGGGGCGCGTCGACGGGGTACGGCACCGGCGGGTCGAGGTCGTCGCCCGTCGTGGCCTGGTTGGGGCTGAACTTTGTCTGGACGAAGATGGGCTTGCGCGGGACTGGGTCGCCTGCCGTCGCCGTCGCCCCCGCCCCCGCCGCCGAGGGGCTGGCGAGGTGCTGCTGGAGGGCGGCGCCGACGAGGTCTTCGCGGTAGTGGAGAGGTTGGGCGGCTGTGTCGAAGGCGCGGAAGCCGGAGCGGAGGGCGGCGAGGACGAGGGGCGTCGTCCGGCCCTGCTTCCAGGCTGTGCCGTAGAGGAGTCGAGGGATGGACGGGACTGCCGCAGGGTTTTGAGATGGCTGGAGGGGAAGATTGTCAGCGAGGGGTGGTGGCTGTGACATATTGGCGGGTGGTTTCTGAGGCGAGAAGATTTTTTGATCTGTTGGTTTGCCGTCTCAGGGACCAACTTCCTGAACTTCTTGGGTATACCCGTGGCGAGCTTCTCGGATCGCTCCTTGACGAAACGACCGTCTATTGCTGGAATGTGAGGGTCAGCCGAGGCAGAGCCGTCCCACGCACTTTCTCTTTTGGGCAGTCGGCGGAGAAGAATGTTGAAGAGTATATAATATTCGATGCTGGCTAGCTACAAGTGTAGATTTGACCGACATCAAGGTGCCAGGGCTTGAGGCTTGAGGCTTGAGGCCCAGGAAGCAGAGGAAATGGTGTTCTCTAAGCCCACTAGGCCGGGTAAACGGCCTCAAGGAGAACAGAAATCAAGCGACCGTCTGTCTGCATGATCAAGTGCCGCCAAGTCTGTCAGCACGTCTTTGAACCCGGAACACCTCAGGAAGGCACCGCTCAGGCTTGTGGTCCTTCCTCTTCTTGGGGCACTGTCCTGCCTCGCCTGTCCAGACGGACGGAGCCACTGACAGGCGATGACATCACCGTCGCCAGATTACAGATGAGGGGTACCAGATGTTTGAGGGCAGCTGCGAACGAGGTGAGCTGCTGCGGCTGCCTTTGCAAAATGTTGCCATTCGACAGACAAGCCGTTGGTCAAAGGTCTCACACCGAGGAGATAGGGTTGCTCTGCAAACCATGTTCAAGCTC